TGGAAAATAATGGCAATAGCTACGTGATAATGCAGCAGCTGACTACACGGGTACAGAAATACTGCTTCTATGTACCGTTGATTTCCGATGTTTTCCTTCCTGATTCGCATCGTAGTTCTCCATCTAAAATCCTATATCTTCTTCTGTGTCATCAGTTTTATTTTAAATAGTATTCTTCAGCAGAAACTACTTCTCATTATTTTCTTTCGTCTCTTAATGATGTTTACTGCTAATAATATTTATCTGTCTTTGAATTTATACAATCAATATGATAATTAAATACTCTTGATTACAGTAGATAATTTCTTCGCTATTCCTTCTAAATATTTTTCTTGTTTCTCATCTTGCTCTTTTTCTTCCATTAAATTTCTTCAAATTATTATCCAAATAGAATTATTTGAATTATAATAGTAGCAAAAAATAAAACATGATAAAAATATCTCACTTCATTTCTATTTTTTGCCACATTAATGCGCATCATTGACGTATTCTAATAAATTTTTTATTCTTTATTATTCAGAAAAATACTACACTTGACACGCATATTTATTATTATCAACAAATAATACGGAAATCGTGTTAGTATGATACAGATAATTTATTATATTGTAACCATTGTTTCTCTACTAATAATTGTATTGAGTATAATTTATACCATTCCAGTTTTATTTATTCGTCGCTTTCGAAATTTCAATAACATATTTACTGTCAATTTATGTTTCACAATAGTATGTTGTATTAGTTACTGGCTTTTCTTTTATGTACTACAAGCCTTCGATTCTCAATTTTTCTATATAAATAATCGATGTTCTATATTAGTCTATTTTCAAACGATCACTACTTTACAAGTACCCTTAGCTAGCATTATACTTTCAGTTTTTCGTCTTTGTTCTGTTATTTATTATAACATAGCATTTTTTAAAAGGAAAGAATGGGTTATACTATGTATAATACTTCAATGGATCTTCGGATTTGTTTTTTCAATACCACAAATTATATTCTATGATAAAGTAAGACTTATAAATATTAAAACGATTAATTTAATGTTTTATTTATATTATAGGATTGTAACTCACAATTTCGTGGTCGTATTTATGTTTTAATACTAGTTGTAATTGTTCCATCGTTTATTTATATAATAACTAATCTTATAATATTCAATCATGCTCGAACTTCAACTAATCGTGTTCAAGCATTAAATCAACAAGAAAATAAAACATTTTCTCGTCGTGATCTATATTTACTTAAACATATGATTGTTGTGTATTGTATATTTGTTGGAGGATGGAGTCCTATTTATTTATTTTCAATAATTAATTATAATGATACTTTCAATCCAAATATAGGTCCAATTTTAACACTTATAGCTACTTTATCTTTATTATTAATTATCATTAATCTATTGATTTATAACAATGAATTGAGAAAATATCTAAAAAACAAAATTTTCAGATGTTCGGATATATAAAAGTATATATTGTATTTAAAAATGTAAATAAAAATAAATCATATATACACATAACATAGAAAAACAATACAACTCATCATTTCATATATTAAATAAAATTTACTATTCACATTAAGGAATATTATTTTCCACATGAATAAATATAAAATGTCGAATAAGTGATAATTATAATAAAAATAACGAAATTATTCATAATTAAATATTTCCACCGTAAAACTCATGTAAGTTATTTTAAGAATTATTTACTTTGAATAGTTAACGCAAAATTTAATGTAAGATGAAGTAAAGCTTCTACAATATCTTCTTTGATGTTCATCATCAATAAAATTTTGATTCATTATTTTCTAATTTATTTATTTCAATTGAAACATCGTTCAACTATCGCAAACAATAATGAATTTACAGGTGGCACGTTAAAAAGAAGTGATATTATACGTATACAAGGTATTACAACAAACGGACTTAAAAAGAAAAGATTGACTGATCAAATACTGAAAGAAATATTTCTTAGTATATACTTCCTCTCTCACAAACAAATATATTTGACTGCATTTGTTCTACATTATATATTAGTTCATTTATTACGAAATATAAAAACTCTCATTATTACTCCTAAGATGTACTAGTATAACAAATATACATGTTGTATATTTTACAAAATGAGATATTATTTGTAATCTAATCATTAAAAATAACTTATTCTAGTGATGTTAATCACAAAATCAAATATTCATTTTCGAGAGGTATAATTATGTTATGTTACGTTCATTAACTCTTCCGGAACGAAACAACTTGTATATCCATGACATGCGTTCAAGAGCGATTCGATTATTTTCTTCTTCCGAACATCAAACTTTTTTAAATGAAGAAAATCGAAAATCCGTCCAACTTTTCTGGTTATTATTTTCTACGGTTTTCACAAAATATAATCTTAACTCAATGGCCTTTCAGATACCAAAATCTATTCACAAGACAAATAATTCATTAGTATCAATCATAATTACCTTTGAATATGATCAACAAACAAAAAGACTACTTACTTTACACGTAATCATATCAAAATTTTGATAGAATTAATTGATTTCATTATGAGTAATATTTTTTCTTTGATGTTCACATGCTTTTATATTTTTATTGTGGCAAATCATTCATATCACGTGTTTTCTTTACTAATCTAGTCACTAGGTTCTAAGATTTGAAATAATTATATAATATATCTGACTTTTGTAATACTACATCAAACATGTACTTGATATAAAAACGAATCTGTTTGAACCAAATGACAGATTTTTTCAATTTTGTTTTTGAAAAAAAAAGTAAAATTATGCATTTGTCTTCGTTTAGACAGACAGTTAATCAAAAACATGCAACCGCCTACCGAGGTGTTGATTAGTTTGATCATTCATCTTTCATAAAATATACAAAAATGACACCAGCTTGATGATGATGTAAAGTATATTTCATCCATTGACGATCACTTGTTATCAAAATATAGAATAACAAATTAGACGATTCGTCGTTACAGATTAAAATAATTTATCAACAAATTGGAAGCAGTTTACATCTTCTATCAATCTATTAGCACAGCAGGTTGCTTCCTTATTTCTCTATCTCTCTCTCTTCTATTTATCAACTTATTTCACACCTATCTTCTCTTTATAACTAGTCGTGCATCTTTAATTCTTCATCACAGTTAATCAATTCATCACTATCAACAAGTCAACTATCAACAAGGATTGAATCCATTCATCGTATCAAAGACTTTTGCCTAATTTTTCCTATTTCATAATATATTTAAATCTTTACCTTCTTCTATTCTAGGAATTTATTGATGATGTATCAACAAGCCGAACAAGAAGCTCTTCTCGGTAAGTTTTTAATTCATTCTAAAAATAAATTTAATCTATTTTTAATAGCTGGTCATGGTCGTGTTAATCAACTCGGTGGAGTTTTTATCAATGGTCGTCCATTACCTGATTGCATTCGTCGTCAAATCATTGATATGGCTAGAACTGGAATTCGTCCTTGTGTTATTAGTCGTCAAGTAAATAATGTTTTTCACTATGAATTGTTTTATAATTAAATATATTATACATTTTAGTTACAAGTATCTCATGGATGTGTTTCAAAAATTCTCTCACGTTATAATGAAACAGGTTCTTATAAACCTGGTCCAATTGGTAATAAAAATAATCAACGACAAGTTAAAAACAATAATTTAGAAATTGATAATGATGATGATCAAACAACTGAAGAATCAGATGAGAGTAAAAGTACATATATAAGATAATATTTAAATTTTTTTCTAATATTCACTATTACTTTTAAGATAATTCACTTAATGATACATTACCATTGCGTCCAGTTAAAAATGTAACTAATAATTCACGTCGTTATCGTTCATCATTTAATGCTGAACAAATTGAAATGCTTGAACGAACATTTTCTCATACACCATATCCTGATGTATCTACACGTGAACGACTTTCACAATGTTTAAATATTGAAGAAAATCGACTTCAAGTATGTTTTATTTTTTCGTACATGTTAGTTTTTACAATAATTTCTTTTTATTCAACAGATATGGTTTAGTAATCGACGAGCTCGTACTCGTAAAACAACTGCTATATCCACTTCTAGTATTGTCAAAGACGAAGAAAACACGATACCATCATTTCTTGCATCACCTGTTATGGATATGAAACCATATTCAACTGCGACCAATATTTTTGATCCAACAGTAACATCCAGTCCATGTTCAAGTACATATAATTTTCTTTTTAATTAATATATGTATGTAATTATTATTTTTCTTAAAGGTTATTGGCCGCCATCATCTTCAATGTCATATGGATCAATCAATCCTTCATACGCACCAATGAGTAGTCATTATTATTCAACATACGATTCACCAAGTACAACATCAGTCTATCCTAATTATCCATTGTCATATTCACCGTATCCTTCATTCTATTAATCTTTTTGTACATTTTTTGGAATATTTATATATTTTTTTGTTATTGCTTTTCTTTGGGCTTGTATCACTCGGTCGTTAATTGAGAAATTAAAAGTCAATAAATTGTTTTTAAGTAATGAAAGTATTGTTGATAATCTTTTTTCTGTTTTGAAAGATAGTGGCAATAGCATTAAATAAAAAATGGCATCATTTCGATACATCATCTGTCTCACTTTGCAAAATATATTAGAGAAATAAACATGACAGATTGTGATCAAATATAATGCGTTCGATTCGCAGTTTGTATGGTTATGCTACTTCATAGATGATTATTAACTGTCTGTGACATTTGTTCTCTTCGTTTGATTTAACAGTATGAAAACTAATGGTGCAAATTTTGTCTGAACTAGATTAGTTCACGAGTAAATGGAAATAATTTGAATCGATAACTGTTTAGTGATGAAGAATTCTTCTAGTGGATGATTACTACTGTTATTATATTACACAATATAGCATTTATGACTTCTAGTTTTGTAGTCGATAGTCAATTTGTAGGTATAAGATCTCCTTGGATATCGATAATGTGAATAAAGTAGAATTTGTACCAACTTTTCTTGTTCTTTGTTTTGCTTAAACCGTATGACTCAATTGTGTATACTTGACGAATATTTTTATTATACGGTTTCTTAAAAAATGTGAAAGTCTCTAAAATATAACATTTCGAAAGTATTATGAACTGAATTCTATATCGAGTATGTAAATATAATTGTGAGGTAAATAATAGTTACCAGCACTGTTTTACAATTCACAATGAAATATTAAATGAGAGTTTGGATTATCGAATTAATGGTTGTGGATTTTGTTATTCGTTTTTATAAACAAGAATAGATTATAACTCGATACTGATCAATCATTTTGCTTGCAGTTTATTCTACATTTAGACTTTCAGTCTCGTCATGAAAAGATAGTGAGGTAGGATTGTGTCTGATAAAAAGCAATTGAATGAAAGATGAGTAAGTCGATTAGAATCACAATCTAATGATTAAGTCAATATCTTTCGTATTCAATATCAAACAATTTTTATTTTTGGACTTTCATTCAACAAAGACAGATACAACAAATAAAGACAAGCATAGAGATTAATAGTACATATCTCTTGTGTTAAAGAAAGGTATAATAACTCGTACTCAATTGAAAAAGAAGACAAAAAAAAAATGAAACGATAAAGTATCATTGCAGAAAACAGACAGGAAAAGAACAATTTAACAACAGGAATAAGAAAAAAAAAAGAATTAATCAGCGTGTTCATCATTCATATCGGATGCCAATGCACCTCGTACAGTCATACTTATTGTCCATACTTTAGTATCAATTGGACAACCAGTTGTTGGTGGTGTAGGTTTAGATCGTAAAAACCATTTATTATAATGAAGAGGTATACGAGGATGACGAAGAAGAAAATCATAGAAATATTCCGGTGCAACGGTATCCATCTATTGAAATAAGATTAATTTATAGAGTTTTATAAATATATTAGAAAGAATATAAACTTACTTTAAGACGATAATTTCGTCTTACAACTGAAATTGCTTCGTTGTGTACAAAGAATTGTACATCAAGCATGAGACAAGTTGTTGGAAATTTATCCATAATACGAGTTGCAATATATTCTTCTTCAAAATCAGTTAATGGTGGAATATTTTTTGATAATAATTCTTGAATATTTAATCCATTAGCACGTGTTTTTGAGCTCATATATTCAATATCGGTACTTGAACTGGGATGATGAGAAGATGAATACTAAATAAATTAATGAACGTTGATTGATTAAAAGAGAATTATTAAATACTTAGGAGCTATTAAAAGTCTTTTCAGTACGATCGAATATTTAAAAATTTCATCTCATTTAGATCGTTAAGTATGCGAGAATTTTATATCACAAATACTAAGATATTGTACTGGAATGTCTTAGTTTTTCAATAGTTTCATAGGTAAAATATATATTCAATATGTAATACATGATTGAAAAGTGTCAACGCTCGTTAATTAAAGTAGATATCAACAGAATTTCTATCAATTATCATTCCACTTGTACTGGTATTGTTAATCATAGCTTCAACCAAAGAGTAAAATCAGAACTTTAATTTTTCTTTCTCTTGTTTTGCTTAAGTTAGAGTACATTATAGTTAGGTAGTTGATTTTATTCTTTTATGAACTATAGAAAAGACCAAATTTGTATTTTGTATAGCATTTTTCATATTCGAGGTATATTCTTTTAATTTTAGAAGTCGAAACTCGATTAGACAGAGAAAGATTATATCAAGAAGAAAAGATCGTTAGATGATATTGTATGGGTTTACTACGCGAAGTATACAGATCTTATAATGAAGACTTATATGAAATGAATATCTTTTCTACTAGTATTTTAGTATGACATCACTTTATAGATATTTTTCATTTATTCTTTCCAGTTTTACTCACATGCATTGTTAAATTAACACCTTCTATATTCTAATATGTTCCTATAAATTTATTTCCAATTTTGTTTTTCTTGTATTTATATATAGATCATATATCATATATAGCTGCTGGGGGTAGAAAGGTAAGTGTGAGTGTTTATCCTTCTTTCACACTTTCACTCTCCCACACATCTAAATTCACATTCATCTCACATAAGCATATACTTTTAGTTATTTTCTGTAACAGCTATATAAATTGGTAAAAGTACATGGTGAAAAGATTCTAAGATAAAGACTAGGAGGATAATACATAATGTACGTGAACATATTAGAATATAGAAGAGGCGTTCATACGTCAATGCATGCTGTACAATATCAAATGAAATTTCGGGTCATCATTTAAAAACAGAATTCAAGTTTGTTTTTTGAATCATCACACTCTTTTGATATTAATCGTGGCAAATTCATTGATCTGAATAATTTTAAAAGAGCCGATGTCGGACAAAAGATATTTGTTAAGATAAGATATAGAATATGAAATGGGAAATGCAAATAGAAATGTGCTAACAACAATATTATAAAGGAAAACATAATAAAGAAATTCTCATTTGATCATAGTACAAAATACTCTACCTTAACATAATAATACTTATATAAACAATCAACTATCGCGGTGCTAATTTATTTACTCCATCTATCAAAGGGTTTCGTTGATACATTTTCTAGACTGATAAATGATCTCGATGTCAGATGTTTATAACAAAAAAAAAATAAACAAATGAACATAATCTCTGTCAATATGCTAGAACGTGACTATGTTAATGTTTACCATATCTTTTTATCATACATTAAAGAAGATTAAAATATAGCCTTACTAAAAATAACCTACAGGATACAATAAAGTAAAATTTCGTTTAATTTAGATTGGTATCTAAATCTATGGTGTGATTGTGAATATGACAGATGATAACTACCATATATAAAACATTTATGAATGATTTGTTCAAGGTACAAGTACAAAGGTGATCATTGTATTATAAGCAGTGATTATCTATGTCAATCATCTTCGGAATGAATTATCGATAGCTAACCGATTCATCACTATTGAGATAGATCAACTTCACGTAAAAACAGATTAGTTTGCTCAGATAAATGTTTATTTGCAATACGTTCTATTATTTTAATGATAGTCATGAGATTATCAGTGATTTATCTAGCGGGAGGGCAAGGATGGTGGCACCCTCCTGAAGAACAATTCTGCCCTCCAGAAAATCCAGTCTTTGTGCTTATACTATGTATTAGGAGATTACTGTCTAATTTTCGACACTATACTAAGTTCAAAAGAACAATTTGATAACTATTTTTCTAAAGTTATTCTATCATCTAAAACTTCGATACATTGTGCAAATATATGATTGTATTTTAATATTTATCCTTTGAAATATTGAAAGAAATTACTACTTACTGTTGCTTCTGATTTAATATTACGAAGTATATGAGTATCATTAAGATTTTCTACAGAAAATACATTAAAATCTTGATGTTCTAATTTAACATCACTGTTCATTGAATAACGAGCAGTTGGACGCTAGGTAATTCATTAAAAATATTAAATTAAATAAATATTGCTTTCTATCTTACCGTACAAAATTGTTCAAGTATTTCAATATCATCATCATCATCATCATTAATATTATGGTTATTATTAATATTATGATTATGATTAATATTATGATTATGATTAATATTATGATTACTATGTTTATTATTAATAGTACGATTATTATCATTATTATTACGAAAATTTTTATGATTGTATGTATTTACTAAAAAAAATAAAAAAAATTTCATATTTTTAATTTAGAAAAGAAAATAAAAGAAATTATTACAAGCCGGCAATGATAAATTAGTCGTTAATGGTTTTCGTTTTTTCTTTGGTACTACTTTGTTTCGTTGTAATGCATTATGTTTAGGACATAGTTCACGTGAATAAGCAAGATTTGTACATTGTTCTGTAGTCCATGTACAAACAAGTCTCCAACGGCAACCATCATATTTTTCACGACGATTGTTTTGATCATTTTCAATATGTCGAATAGAATTTTTTGCTGGTGGTAATGTCAACGGTGCTGCTGGTGTTGCTATAGATAGTCTTGGATTAGAAACTGGTGAACTTGGATGATTGAGAAGTGAATTAAACATTTTTTTAATAGCTAATGGTGATGGATTCATTTTTATCGTGGAAAATATTGATAAACAAACGAAAAAAACTAAATATATGTTGTTGTTGTTATTTTCTATCGAACATGTGTCTGGTTATATATAGAAGAATAACATTGTTGTAGTCTTATGTTCTCTTATATATCGTTCGTTATTCACTATAGGAAAGAATTAGACGAAGAAAGAAAGAAGAAAAAAGAAGAATAAAATCGTTCATATAAATCGACCGTTATGTTCGACAGATTGTGATAGGAAAAAGAAAATAACAATTAGAATTAGGAAACTGTTCTGCGATCACGTGATTATTTTTAATTTCTTGCACTTCATATCAATTGGGGCGGGTGACTTTTATTTCCATAAATTAATTATGTAAATGTCTTTCAAATCATTTTATTTCATATATTGGATAGAGCGACAAATACATTGATCGACACCTATCATTTAGTGAGCCAGTTAGACTATTCAATCATTGGAATGCTGAAAGCGACGGCGTGAGAGTGGAATAGATAGGTGGGAGGACATGGATATATCCTAACCATACCGTGGCTCATATCCTCAACTCTCTAGTGACCGACAAATCTAAATGACGGGAGTTAATAAGTGTATTTGTCTCGTGATTCTCGAATCGTTTCTTAAATATTTTACGTATATTGACCATAATAAAAGTTGGTTCATTTCCTATCATTGTCGTTCATTTTAAAAATGCTGTTTTATGTTGAAAAACTTAAAAGATAGTCACATAACATTTCCTTCTTATAGAATACCTGTGTAATATAATCTATTTATTGGAAGCGAATCTGAATGAAAAAAAAACGTTGATGTGTGAATGACTCAGGGGTCCTGGTCATGCGAGTATGACTCTAGAAAATGGATGAAAGAGAATGAAATATCATGGTTAACGGCCATGACAGTAGCTGTTGCTGAGTTATTACTTTATTCCCAAAGGTATTGCTTTTATAGTAGATGTTTCTTTAATAGAGAAAAAAATTGATTTTTTTCATACTTTTCATTCATATGTAAAGTGTAAAATAAAGTGAACGACTGTTTTAGTTGAAATTTAATCCTTTTAGAAAAAAAAACTTTTCTTATAATGAAAGAAGGAAAAAAGAAGTCAATAGATAATCATTCAATTGTAAATAATGTACAATATATTAAGTTTTAGCAAGATCAAAATGATTTTAGATTATATTTTGTTGCTGTGTTAATAATAAGGTATGCTCATAATTTGCACCTGGCAGATGTATTATGCACATGACTCATTATATATTGATGATGGCAAGGATGATGTGTTCACTGATCATATCGTGGTATGATCACATATTCTATAAATATATGCATGCAAGCATTTCATTCGCTGCACGTATAACATTTATTTAATTAGCACAAACCGATATTATCCAGATATGAATGGTGAATAAAGAAGGGAACGAAAAATTTATTACTCAATAGGGCACTTGTCTGTCATCGATGTTTATTTTATCACAAACGTATGATGAAATACATATACGAAAGTTATCTTTTTATGTTTTATCAAGTGGCAGATCAATAAAAGTATGCTAATGAGAATATGAATATGATGGCTAATTTCTTAATTTGTTATTTATCAACTTTGAGGAAAACAATTATTTCGTTACAATTGGTAATAGATATCGATATTAAGTAGAAAAATCAAGATCATAATATGGATGATACGATCAGTTTCTTTCGGTTCTGCGTGAATATAATATAGATGTTAATTCAGTAGATTAATTTCGACGTCTATCTTCATGATAGAATTGATTTAAATATATTTAGTTTGTAAATCTTTATAAAATTAGTTCTCAATAACTAATATTAATTACAACTGTAGTACTATAAATCTTATTGTTTTTAAGTGAAACTATTCTTTTGAATACTATTTTCGCACTGATATTAGTCTACGTAATGTATTCTACGAATATTTTTAATATGTCAAATAAAAAATCACAATAACTAATAAATGACACATCGTGTTTTCTTATTTTTACTTAAACCTTGATATTGTTTATGAACTTTACTATCAAATTATAAGACTACCATAAATATTAACATAACATACACTAAACAGTACTTGCAATCTATTTGTTTTCTTAATTTTAATAAAAAAGATAAAGATATTGTTATGATTCTTAATATTTATCGATATATCATTTCTCTTTTACCATTCTTGTGATATTTAAAATCATTTAAAAAGTATTTATTTGTATTGCATACTTTCATTAACTAACTATATCAAGCAATGCAGATGTAAAATAGTTTTTGTAACAACTATAATAAATTATGTCGAACAGAATGTTTTGCACCTTCATTAAAAAGTTTATTTTGATATTGTTTATTTTTCTTTTCGAATTGGAACCAGTATAAAATCCAATAAAGTACGGTTAGTTCTAGAGTAAGAGTTTTTAGATTCATTTGAAGTAATAATTCTTAAATTTTAGCCGAGATTATTTCAATGTATTAAGATAAACAGACAAAGACATAGTTATCTTCAATTTTGAGAAGTGTAATATCTACTTTGCTCTGCATCAAACAAATATAACGATCGCATATACGACCATCGCCTAGTACTGTTTAAATGAAGTTTCTTAGAAATACCTTTTTTTATTATTCTATAAGCTGAAAAAGTACATTCTACCATTATGACATAGAATAAAAAATGTTTTTTTGCTACACTTCTATATATAATTAAGTTTTCTTTCTTTTTGACACCTCTTTTGTTCTTAAAGTAACGTGTCTTTCAATTGCAACATTGAAGTTAATTTACAATGACTTAGTTTTTGAGTAGATTATCACCTTTTACGGTCAACATATTCTGTTTACTTTTCTAGGTTTAAATCATGAATAGATTAAATTTTGCCAACAGTTCTGTGATAGAATAGTATAGTGATAATAAAGTTCGTTAAAACATACAGAACAATGTTATACTATAAAAGAATAATAATAAAATATTTCTTTTTCCTATTTGAATCCAAAAAACCTCATGTGAAACTTCAATTAAAACTATAAGATTTTTAATTTTTATAGAAAGATAGAGTACTGGATACATGATCATTTTTATTTAATACATGAAATCGTTGAAAATAATTGTAAATTTAAAGAGATAAGCAAGACAATAGTTAGTATTTTTAAGATAGAAAAATTGAAAAAAATTTAATTGAAATATATTTTCTTTATTTCCTATCTTTACTTTATCTCCATATTAAAAATATTTCATGTTCAATAATCATCAACATCATTATTTTCAAAAAATCTATCCAGTGCAGCTACAATACGTTGCTTAATATCGGGTGTTGGTTCAGTCATTTGATATTGATTTTGATTTGAACAATTTTTATCATCAGGTTTACAATTTGTACCATAAATGATTTCACGTAATAATGGTTCAGTATGATCATTTGTTTCTTGATCGAATTTTTTAATATTTTCTAAGGCCATTTCAATTGCTTCATCAGTAATAAATCCTTTAGATTGTTTAACATGAACAAGAACGTTGAGTAAAGAATATATAATTGGATTAAAAGTTGAAGATGATATATAACGATTAAGAGTCAATTCAGCTTTTCGATAATTTGGTGGTACAGGAAGTGCACAATTGACTGACATCCAACCGAAAATTGATAGCAACAGTATTATTCGAAGAGACATTAGAAGTTTATTGTATTGAATCACCAGGATAGGACCCAAAGTATACCTATATATGTAATGTAATAAGTTTGTTTGTATGAGACAAAATAAGTGAATATGTAAATTATGACGAATATTTATACTAGTCATGAGAAATTCTATTTATTATGTTTCATACTTTATGTAATTGAAACAAAAAAGTCAGTATTGACATGAGTGGGTGGTTCTGTATAGCGCACTGTTCTACTTCGATGCATTACTTAAACTACAGATCACAACTCTTTCTCCACATTTAAATCATGATATTAACGAAGAAAAAAAAAATTTCTCGAGATTATAATAAACAAATATTTTGCAATGATTTTTATATAGGATACAATAATATACTAATTAACAGGTAATAAAACTCGATATTTCATTCGAATTAACTTAACGCATACTTACTGATATCTCAATAGTTTAGTTACTCGATATGATTTTAATAAAATTGGGATAGATCATATATTAAAAATAAGAGCAATCTCTGCGATCATTTTTATTCTATCTCATTTTTAATTAAACTAAAAGTGACTGACTACGACGATTTTCTGCACGCAAATGCAAAATTCAGACATGCAAAACATCATATAAGATCTAATTGTATTATCATATAACTCCCACAAATAACTGTCTACTGTACTCGAGTTTTTCCCCAATGGCAGTCTAGTTCTTCATCTTCAAATATTGCGGCTATGACTTGTGAAATTGTTAAAAATAAATGTGTTTTTCCAAGTTCAAAACATGCCGAAAGTTATAATTTTTATTTTTTCTATTTTATCACGTCCAATAGTCTGTATCCTTAGACAAAACATAAGTGACACATTTTTATAACTTAAGCTTCTAAAGAAATTTTTAATTAAAAACAACAGACTTGCACCTTTTATTATGATCTATATAGTTTTATAAAATATTTTTTTATTAAAAATCTACATTCAACTATTGAGAATTGATCATAAAATTCATAATTTCCACAGGTTAATTATTAATTAAATAATGCATAGTCTATACAAATATATGCCATAAAAAGATGTATATTTTGCACTTAAATGCATGACAATTTTGATTACATTCAGTGCATCAAATTTTATTTACTGAGAAATGTTTCTCATAACAAAATAATTGAAAAAGTCATTTTAAGTATAGGACATTAAAAGTTAAAAATTATTCTTCCGTATTCATTCATAGAAACCCATAGAGAAAAGAAAGTCAGGATACGAAATAGTCCTTAAGAATACTTTATATAATTAATTATACTTAGTATGACTAATATTGACAGATTATTCGGTACATAATCATTTCTTAAACTTGATAACAAGTAGTTCGCGGTCATTCTTTGATTTATACAGAATTAAATGTCTATTATTCATGAATTATTATATTACAATAAATAAGACTATGGACAATTTTCTATATAAATTAATATTATCATGGCAATTTCAACTTCCTATCATTTTTATTGGAAACAAAATATAAGACTTGATAAAATTAAGAAAATACCACTTCAAACTTCAACATCAGAACGTAAAATATTGAGCACGAAGCCAATTAAAATAAGTAATGAAAAATCTAACAAGCTAATCAACTGAAAATTATCCACAGTTAGTAGAGAAATGCTTTTATTATTAGTCGTGTAGACCGATGAAAACTGATCGAACAACTGATGCTTCATCAGCAATCAAAATATCATTGATCGTTTCAAAAGAAAACGTAAGATAAAAATCCAATTCATTTTTTTCTTGTTTTATCTAGATTAATATATAGACTAATCATCAAGATAATAAACATGTAAGCTATTATTGATACTATATTCTAAGATTATAATTAGATATTCCTCTTTATTGTATAGATCGATCAAAAATTATCTAACATTTCATTATTAACTATTTATGGAAATGAAAAATTGAAATCAAACCATAGATCTCATTCAAATTCAATGGAATCTTCAACATCTAACAGTTTAAAGTATTAAACGAAAGACTTTATCTACGTCTATCAATTGAAAGAATAATGTATGAATACATATAGACATATATGTGGCTCATCAAACTAATTTTATTTTGTTAAATTAGCTATAAAAAAAATGAACACACAACAAACTAACAAAAAAATCACAACTGATCTCGGTGGAATGTAAAATTTCATTTGATTTTAATCAGCAGCAGCAGCAATAGTGGTAGACGAATTAGCAAAATATGTAGCTATATCACTGGAAGGCAAACAAACGTCATTTGGAGTAGGTCGATTATATTTCTTTCTCTTATAGATCAATTTCCAATAAGTCATATGAATAAATTTTGTTAACTTGCAATATTTATTAATACTAGCTTCTTTAGTTAATAACCATTGACGCATTGTAGCATTTACACCTAAGATTTCATCAGCTAAACGAAGATTGTCCTGTAAGGATCGTTCCGTTACACCCGACTCCTAAAATAAACAATGATATATTCATTCTTTTCTAAATATGTAAATACTTTGATTAATAAACGAAGGAGTAGCTTTTTTTTGTTGTTATGTAAATCAAAATACACTTAATGTTTTATTAAACATACATCTGTTGCAAGTAAATAATTTGCTTAGTGTATCTATAGAGTACAAACAAATGCGGATTCTGGGTGAGTGACTATTGAATAAAGATTTTTTGTAAGTATTACTTAGTAAATAAAAGAACGGATTCGACTGAGTGATAATAGTTTTATCGAACTCTATGACAACTTATTCTAATCTATTATATTCATCAAACTTTGTCATAATCAGATTAAACTCGTTAAGCTTTAGAATAATATATAAATTCTATTGGATTTCAACATCGATGAATATGTCAGAATTATTTCTTTGTCTTTTTGGAGTAATTCTAGACTAGCGAGTCCTATTTTGATTCAATTTTCCATCTGTTTTATATTATTATTACTAATTATAAGTTGAATTCTCAACTGAAAAAAAACTTTCTCTTCTTCTATGATTATTATGTAATCTTTACCGCATATTTATTCGCTGGTAATCGTCGAAACCATAGATATTCATTATAAGCTGTTTCATTATTGGATAAATAGTTTAAATAATCAGCTAATTCTTTAACTGTTTTAAAATCATATACATTAATATATGAATAATTCGGTGCAAAACGTTTATAATTAGGTTTTCCATCTCGACTAGCAACAATAGGTACAGCTGTTGATGATAATCCATCAATTAATTTTTCTGTAACATAATCTTCGCAATTAGAATTTTCGATCGATATAACAAATTTATATGATGCATATAATTCGGAATTTGATTGTGCGCGTGCTTGTGCTTGGGCTGAATGACCATTATTAAGACAACCACCGTATGAATCAATACGAATGTATGTCATTAATTGTTGAACTAACGTTTGACGACCATTATAAGCATTACTTTTTAAAAATAGATAAAAAAAAGAGAAAATTAGATCAACGAATAGATTAAAAATCTTTACCAATTTGATATGATCCATATAATTGGAGCAGATGTCATTTTTTTTGAAAATGGTATTCGAACAGGTGCAAATAATTTATCAAGATATGATTTTATATCGAAGTAAGTAGCTGGTTCGGGATATGAACGTTCTAAATTATACCACATTGGAAAATCAATCTCATGCCAATCACGTCCACCAGATGAATGTACTTCACTTTCAAGTACATAAACAGTTGAGTATTGTTGTCGTTTATCATTACGTTCTAATTTTGGTAAATTATATGATGGCATATGAATAGAATGATAGGATATAAGATCAGCTTCTTTTAAACGTGATTGATCATCGGTCCATCGAACCGTTAATGTTAATAAACGAACACATCGTTCAATGAGATGTGAACGAAGACCATCATTTGTTACTGATTCGAATTTTGCCACACATTGCTCACGTGTTATATGAGAAAAATCACCTAAAAATTTATAGAAATAAAATTAAAATCATATTAGTATTTATCCAGATTATATCTTCTAAAAAACAATATTTTTGCAATTTCGGAAGGGTTAACGCAATCTCTAACGAAGCGTAATCCTCTCTATTCCACAAGCTCAAAAAGAGAAGACTACAATTATACTAAAGAACATGATTACCTTTACTAATCGAAAAAGATATATTTATCATCTATATTCATTATGAATAATACAAGGACAACTATGTTATTTATCACATTTTATACTATAATCATACATATAACATCTATAATTAATCTCTCTACATCTGTCAGTATGCTCTCGTTTTACACAACAGCTGCATAATATATCACTTAGTATATCTTAACAGTTTTATTGATAGTCAGCTGAAGTCTTTTAAAACAAGCAAAACACTAATATTTTTAATATATTCAATACGAATAGAAACAATAACTATTTTTTAAATAATAGAATAGATTATGGATTGACAATGCAGAGTAGTAGTGCCATATGTTTTATAATAGCGATCTATACTTAACGTGAATTATTTAAATAATTTTCATTTCCTCTCGTGTATTCATCAATTATACTAAATTATTCCAATTCATCGTTTCTCGTATCGGAATTAAAAGCATCATGTAAATCAAGAATAAAAGATAGTAACAGCTGATTTTTCTCAATGTTTACATTTTTATTTTAAGAGATTTAATTATTAAATATACCAGTATAAACACAAAGAATAAACAAGTTCTCAAAGTTCAATGAATTCTGTAATCTATATACATGTACTTATACTATTGTATTAATTGATTTTATATTAGTCAAATAGTCTTTTCGTTATTTGTTTAGATTTATAATAAAAAAAAGACGTCAATTAAAGAATATAGATATGTGCAGCTGATGCCTTTTCCCACACTTATAAAATTGAATACGATATAAGTGGTAACAGATATTTATGTTAGTAAATATTTACTTACATTTAATGGGATCTTGTTCTCGAAATATATGTTGATGACCTGTCCAATCCAACACAAGAAATTCATTACTATTTTTTAGATGAAATGATGGTTTATCGGCTACATCATCTTGTTTTTTATTATTGTTATCAAAAAAATCATTTGAATGTCGATGCTGATGCTGATGCTTAGATTGTTCGTTTTCGGGATTACTTTGATGTTGGAAATAGAGTTGACCGAGAAAATAAAGATTGAGTGTAATTACGCCAACAATCAGATAGAACACTAGACACTTGAGCGAAGTTCGCATCGGAGAATTCTATTAATATGATTGTTCTTTTCATACCGCTCTAAACCAAAGCTCCATTAAGATCTAAAATAAGATCAAAAGAAAAAAATGAAAAGCTTAACAAATAGTCATGTATATTCTAAATCAATAACACACATTATTATTTATATGTTCGAACATCAACATCTCTAGTCTCTTTTTTGCCTCTTTTCTTCTTTGTCTCTTTCTTTTCAAATGGTGTCTTTATCGCATTCTGCATGCTGTTCTTTTTTCTTTCTTTTATACTTATATTTGCGAACGAATGATTCTATTAATGAAGAATATGCCCGTCATTGTCTCCATTCTTTTTTTAAGGGTCTAGTTTTTTTATCTATCATAGATATTACTTAGATGAGAAGAAATACAGATATATATACTTTTTTTTCCTTTCCCTTGAGATGTGTTTTGATAGAATAACGAAAAAAAAACATCTTAATATAACTCAAAAAAAGATATAACAGAAAAAAATCCCGTGTTGTACAGTTAAAAAAAATCTGTTCAAATTCATCAGTAATATGATTAATAAAAAAACGCAAAAAATTTTAATTAGTCTAATTAATTGGAAATTATGGAGCTAATCGTGCGAATAAAAAACTAATATCTAAAATAATTATCTTCTCTAAATCGAACAATTATCCTTTGAATGAATGATTTTTTATATAATACGAATAACAATATTCTACCGACGAACTTATCTTGACAAGTTAGGTCAAATAGATCTATCTCAGTCAGATAACTTAATATGACTTATCCTATTGGAACTAATCAATTAATCAGGTGTGGTCGTTTTTTTACGTCGAATAAAAATTCTTTTCTTGTTTTTTTTTCAACTTAAATCTTAATGATCGAAACTCGAAATTTACAAAAAATTTCAATTAAAAAATAAAATTGATACCACTAAATGACGTCCTATTTGTTAATTTTCTACATGAATTACTAATAAGTAGATATCCTGGAATTAGTCTATTTATTTTGTTCCAAATTTCTGACATTTTCTTACATCATTCGTAAAGAAAATATCATGCATTTCTAATCAAAATGACTTTCTATAGAACGATCCAATCAGAACTTTTATAGATTACTAAGTGCGCAATCAATATGATCGTTTATTATTTTTTTCCAAATACGTTACACTTACAAGTATTTTTAATATCTATAAATACACTTACAACTAAATTATAAACAATCCTACTTTATTAAAAATAGATAAATTTTGAGTAAATATATCTTCTCTAATTGCAAAATGTTTGAAAACGAGATATTATTATTAAATAGAAAGGTAACAGATCACGATGTGTCATATAATGTATAAGCCTATCGACAACCGTTGATCACCAATAAAAAAGAATTTCATTTAGATTAGTGACCTCTATCGTATAAATTTATTTGTAAATTACAGTCATATGTATGTTTGATAGATTGAGAGCATAACGAGAAGAAAAAAACAACAATTGTTTTTTAATCAAAAATAAATGAAGTCAGTTAATATGAAACAAATTTTTATATTATTCTTTATTATTTATTTCACAGGTTCGATATTTTTTTCTAATAACAATAAAATTTATATCCGTATATTTAATAGACAGCGAAAAATTAACTGCTAATAATCATGCATTCCTATTCGATCCACCAAGTTTAACAGTAGCCGTTGGTCATAATGTATCAACTACTATTCAACTAGTGTAAGATATTCAAAGAAATTTCGTTTTTTGTTCCATTTAATTATTTAAAATAAATAGATCAGAACAAGATGAACCAACAAATGTAGCATTTGTTTATGGTAATGATCGATTATCATCAACAGATTATATTGAACCACTTAAGCCAGTGAATTTTCCTCGACATACCCCGCATCAGATTGTTTTACAGATAACTGGTCTCCGTCCAGGACATTTAATTGTTGGTTGTAATGCAACACCTTCATTAAATACAAATTTAACTGAACGTGATTTTCTTCGTATTGATATTGCACGAAGTATAAAACTTAATCGTCTTATTAGTACAGTTGGTTGGCTTTATTTTTTTGCTTGGTCTTGTTCATTTTATCCACAAATCGTTTTAAATTTTCGACGACAAAGGTAAAAATGAAAAGGAATTTTTAATGAAAATTAAAAGAATTGTTTTTCAAGTGTTGTTGGTCTTAATTTTGATTTTTTGGCATTAAATTTATGTGGATTCTTTTGTTATTCAATTTATAATATTGCACTTTATTCATGGCGAGATGTTCAGGTTTGTTTATTTATAGGAAAATTAGTTGATTGAATACTAAACTATTTTTTCAAGAGATAAATTACATATTCAACTGTAGATTAATAACTACCATGCTTGGGTTTTGATGCCGTTTTTTAATAAGCTAGTCCTGAGTGCTTCATTTATTGCATACGTATTCTGTTATGGTATACATGTGCTCTTCCAGTTCATTCTCATGAGATGACTTTCTAGAAACGATTTACTGAGTGTAATTTATTCTTTAGGATGGTTATATGAAATCACATCCACATGGTATTATTCCCGTATTAATAAATGATGTTGTATTCGGTTTACATGGTTTCATTGCAGCACTTATAACTATATTTCAATGTCTCTTTTTTGAAGTAAGCAATAATAATTTAAATCTTTTTTTTAAATTATTTTTTTATCTTTATTCAGCGTTCGACACAACGTGTTTCATATACAACATCAATATTATTATTTGTATTTATTTTATTTTTATCTATAACAACAATTATAACATCAGTTGGTCGTATGGATTTACTTCTATTAATTTATTTCTATTCATATGTAAAATTAATAATATCATGTATAAAATATGTTCCACAAGTTGTAATGAATTATCGTCGTAAATCAACAGAAGGATGGTCTATTGGAAATATTGTATTAGATTTTATCGGAAGTATACTTAGTCTCATACAAATGTTTTTACTTGCTATTAATTATAATGATTGGTCATCACTATTTGGTTCTGTAACGAAATTGGGTCTTGGAGTTGTTTCTATTGGGTTTGATCTCATATTTATTGTTCAACATTATATTTTGTATAAACATAATAAACAACAAGAAGATGGATACCAAATAATAGATAATAATCAAGAAACTACACTTAATACATGAATCTCATTCTTGATATACATTATATAATTTTTATTTATCTCTTCTATGTATATAGTAAATATAATTTTTTTTTGTATTTTATATGGATTCAAGATCTAATAAAAAGTAAGAGACAATAATTAAATGAATTTTGTGTTAAGCTTTAAAAGAAAGGAAACAAAATCATTGAGGATATTTATGTAAAGGATTATTGAAAAGATTAAATAAAGATTTTGTATGTAGGTTATGCAGAAGTGTAAAAACGATAAATAAAAATTCTATCATTCGTATTCTTTAGTTGTAGTAAATGTGTATATGATGGAATGATAGAATAGTGAGTTGATCTAGCGCATTAATTTTCTCACTATCATCTTATATTCTCCTCAGTTTTGTCACAACTTCTAATAGAGCTCTTAAGAAATGATAAGATTATATTTCATACAATGAAAACAAACTTAATTTCGACATTTATATTCATGAATATAAATTTTTTGCAATAAATTATTTGTTATAAATAGGAACGATATATTTTAAGCAGGATCAAGTGACCTATTTGACTCCCTTGCTAGTTGTATTTGATCGGAATATTCTTCATTTCTTTTCAAAATAGTATTCCAGTTCAATCCCCAACCTAGACCAGTTAATAAAGTTACAGATAATGCCGAATAATACACAATAACAAGTGCTATATGATGGTGTGCTACGAAATAATGATGAAATAAAAAACAAGCAAAATGAACAAAATTCGAAATTGAACAAACACGAATGACTATTTGTCGAAAATTCCAATCCGATTCTTTAAATAATGCGATACCACTTAATAATGATACAAGTATATCACCGTTAGATGTTGTTCGAACCCATAATTGAGCTGCATCACGCGTAGATTGATCAGCGATATTACCACCGAAAACTCTAACTGTTTGTACTGGTACAATTAAATATATTAATACAGATATACTTGGCGTAATACAGGTAGTTAAGAAAAAAATATTAATTAATGAAAGTTTAAACATTGAAATGATTTTTTGATCGAATGAAATAAATTCTATTTAAATGCGGAAAATATATTATCTAAAATATATATTAAACAAAATTTTATTCAATTGATTGTATACATGATTTTTATTACAGCAGACATCGTTGACTTCAAAAGAGAAGTATTGTGGTACGTTTAGATTTTAACTAAAAACTAGTAAAAAAAAATATAAATACGAGGATATTTACATCGATATATATATATTGCAATATAGAATATAATAGGTACAGATTAGAATTGACGACACAAAAAATTTGCTAAAACTACTTTTAAAAAACAAAAGTGACACATTTATAAGCGTCTATTTTAAGTTAGATGGTAAGGTGATATATTTATTCCAACCTTAATGATAAACAAGAACTACATAGATAAGAATATTCATGACGAAATGACAAAGTACAAGTGTCATCAGAACTTTTAAGAAATTAATTTTGGATCAACTACGTATATCAAACATTACTCAGGACTATAAATATAGAGTTATTTAAAGTAAAGTAAAAGTAAAATTATTTGTAACACACACATACAAATGAAGAAATTTAAAGAATGATAAATAAATAGGAATAGATTATGTTTTCAGATGATCAAATATACAAGTTTTATCTTCTATGAGTTCAACCATTCCATGCTAGTCATCGTAAACTGGCCTTTGTTCAATAGTATTGTTACTTTAAGTAAATTTCTAACATTTTCTTCATTAGTAATTAGAAAATGAATCTAAAATTTTCAATTTTTTTCATTCATCAATATGATTTTTATGAAATCAATCCCTTCCATCCATCCGACTGATTATAACATTTATTGACTTAAAACTTCTTTCGATTTTACTAAGATAGACTATCAAACAATCATTCATCATTTTAGTCAAGTAAAAATTATGTAAAATATAGAAAATGAGAAGCTGGGATTTATGCTACCAATTAAATATTTTATAGATGTCACTGATGACGTATGAGTCATCTATTCAAAACAATTATTTATTCTGTAATCTTATTCAAAGCTAAATACAGAAGCTAAATCAAAAAATACAAAGAAGATGCCGCCAAAGAAAGATAAGCAAAGTTCTCCGGAATCACTAAATAATGTAATACAGCCGGATTCTGATCCCCTACATTCAAATACATCTACACCAATAAATCCTGTCGGTCCAAGTGAAAATAAGGTAAATATCTTGTTCAATGACAAGAATGTTTTTCATTTACAAATAAGCTAACGTTCATTTAGGATAGTAGAACGGACCTACTTGAAAAATCACATGATCCTGAATATACAAGTGAAAAAGGTGGAGAAAATCAAGAAGCAAAACATACATCTGGTGAAAAACGTATGTCAATTCAACTATTAGGTCTATCAGAACCTACAGAAAATCCACATAAACCTGAACCACTATTACTTGTGTCTGGAGAAGATTCAAAACCTGGAAAAAAAGAAGAAGCAGAAGATGGATCCCGTCAAGATATAGGACCA